GACATTCTCAGGAAGCCAGGAAACTGGCACTAGCAAGGCAGAAAATGTAAGTTGAGCAGGAATTTTAAACAAGTGAATGTTTACTTAGTAGGTACCAACTCTTTGTCACTCAGATGGTATTAATCCTAGGGATAGAAATGAAGGTGGGGGTGATTCAAAGGGATAAAATCAGAGAGCTGGGGAGAATTCAATATGAGCAATCAGAGAGAGGTAGCATGGGGGTAATCAACCTTCTGGGGAAGGCTTCAAAGCCTCAAACAGAATCGATGATAGTTCAAAGAACTCCCGTGTCCAAGAGGTATTCCTGAGGGAGTTTCTCCAAAAAAATTACTCTTCTGCCCAGAATGAAGAGATAAGAATACAAACAGATGCTGAAAGAAATACATTGCAGAATGTTATGAACAAAGAGAGTAAAGGGAACATACAGCATAGTATTTTTTCCTCCCAAGACTGACTCACATTTTACTAAAATTAATGTGTGCACTACATAATACTTGACCACATGTGCTGTACTGCACTGAACAGTTGAGAGAGGTGCACCCAGCATACAATCAAGAGAAGGCATGGGGTTTCTGAACAAGAGCCATCTCCATGCCCCAGGTCTTTCATGGAAAAAAAACCCTGTCATAGAAAAGTGATGATAGAATGAGGTGCTTGGGAATTACCCTTAAAAAAAGTCTATTCCAGCACAGGAGCTTTCTGCTTCCAAGAAAATTTAACATCTGAAAACTTAAGTACAGTCTCACTTAAAGGGAGTTAGGAAGTATTAATACAGGAATGCCTTTTTCTTCCTTAGAATTATATCTGCCTCTCTCCATGAAAGTCTAACAGATTCTGGACATTGTAAAACTGCAATTCTAAGACTCTCCTACCACTTTCCTGTGGACACCCTTCTGTCAAACCATCAAGGGGAACCTGGGAAACTAGAATAGATTGGCAGCCTTTGCCTAAGATGTGTCCATCAGCTCAGTTCTGCAAATGAGTCAGGAGCTGGAGGTGTCCTTAAGACTGGAGTGAGGAACTTGGTGGGTGGCCTGGAAGGGTGTATGGGTTTGTAATAGAAAGACACAGAGATGGAGTTTCTGGCCATGAGAAGCTGCAGAGGGAGACACTCAAACTCCAGGGAAAGATGCCAGTCCACATCAAGACTACGTAATCATAAAGAGAATCAGCCCAGGTGCCAGCCTAACACATAAATAAAGAATTTGGCTTTGTCAAAGGGAAGCCTTTATTATCTAGGAAATACGTTACAGATAGATGGATGTACACAAAGAGAAATACATCAGAGGTGTGAGTAACAATAAAATGGCATACACACAGTGATTAAAGTGCCTTCCCACAGATGATTTCACTGAATCTTCACAACTCTGGGGATGGAAAAAAGGCAGATATTTTATTATCATTATTGCTGTGCCCACCCACCTTTCAACTTTACCATGAAGCTAGAAATGAGATCTTAAATGAAAACTGTCTTAAATGAAACCACTCAGCACATCATGAGACCACCCCGGGGATGATCCCTCCCCACTGCACACAGGAGACAGCCTATGTTCAGATCCTTCATAACCAGGGTCCCTGCGCAGTGAGCCCACCCACCCGTGACCCAGCCAGATCCCACCTCAGACATCTGTGTCACCAAATGACTCACTCTGTCTTTGGCATACGTGTAGTCAAATAATTTCAATTAAGGCTTCCATTCCTGTAATCCTCACATGCCAAAAGAAAGCCAACTTACTCCCCTGTTCTTAACTCCTTAATGCTCTGTACTCCCTCTCTTTGGCTTCTCCCTCAAACCACCATGCCCTCTGAAATCTTCTTCCTTTATGTGAAAGAAACAAAAAGGCTGTAAGCACATCACCCCACATTATGCTCTGTATTTCACCTACCATAGCAGTGAGGGTAAGGGTGACAAAGTACTGGCTCTTCAGTGCTATTTTAGATCCATCACACTCCGACCCTGGTGCCCACACCATCTGACTATGCCACCATGTACACTTCCATCAGTCACAACCTCCTGGTCACATTCTTCAAGACATGACATTCCTCTCCTCCCCTCAACCCCAACCTCTGCCCACATCTAGAAAACTTCAGTATTTTTCTGGGCAATCTGCCCAACATCTTCAATCTACTGTTCCCTGACCTCAAAAACACAATAACAAGTCTCACCTCCACTAAACTGAGATGCCCCCACACTGCCAGGAATACATCCTGAACTTTGTCATCACTAAGAATGGTTCCACACCCAAAATCTTAACTGCAAACACCACGTTCTCTGACCCGGCTGCCTCTCCTCCAGTGCTCTCAGAAGCCTCGCTCACACATACCCACTCTGCAAACTCGTGGACTCCTCCAGCTCCTGGGTCTTCATTTGCTCACGGTCTACCCGCCTTCCCCCTACAGGCTGTTGGTTATCTGAACCGCGCTCCAGCAGTACCCTCAAATCCAGGCACACCCCTCCATATATGGCATTCATCAAGCAAACTCCCAACACAGGATCAGGGTTGTCTTGTACCTAGAAGGCTGAGTACTCCCAAGTAAAATGTTATAACCATTCAGATTATTGTCACAACAAACATATGGTCTCTGATCTTAGGAATTCAATACATCTCAAACTTTTCATTTGATCAACTCTCCTTCTTACTTTCCTCTGTAATTATTTTAAACCTATGCATGTCTAAAGAGGAACACTGCCAAAGCCTGACCCCTCCTTCTAAGTAGACAACAAAATCTTTTTCTTTACTGAAGAAAAAAAACAAAAAAACTGATGTCCAGAGAATTAAGAGGAATAGGAAGGAGTGAGTCAAAATTCTTTAAAGAATCCTCTACCCTCTCTCTGAGACTATTCAATAGAGGAGCTCTCCAGGCTCACCCTAGGCTTGTTTCTTTCTTTCTTCATTTTCAGAGGTATATCTCATCTACTCCATAAAGAATTGTCTTCTTTATGCAAAGGACTTAGAAATCTCTATTATCAGTTCAGACCTCTCTCTTTTGCTCCATTAAAACTTCAACTCAACATTTCCACTTATATATCTAGAAAGCACCTCAAATACTCATGTACAAAATTGATTTCTCTCTTTCTCTAGCTTCCTCTCTCTCTCTCTCTCTCTCAGTCTCAGTCTTTCTCTCCTCTCCCCTCACATACACACACACACACTATCACACACACACACACACACACACACACACACACACACACACAAATTGTTTATCTCCCCCTCAGTAAAAGGTGCCACCACCCAGCTGCTTGGGATAGAAACCTGGCAGCCATCCTCACCTCTTCTCTGTGCTTCTTCCAGTTAATCAACAATTTCTACTAATATTATCTCCCCACCTTCTCTAAAATCTAATCACTTTTTCCTGTTCAAATAATGAACAACCCTGTTCAAATAAGGAAACTGAAGCTGAGAGCGGTTAAGACAATGTCACACAACTAGTAGGTGGCAGAGCTGACTGAGACTTACACCCACTCCCAAAGCCCATGCTTCAAATTAGATAATACCAGAGGACCTCTCAGAGCCAAAGATAACCCTGAGAAACACAAATTAGACTATTTCAAATGCAGGATGGCCTAAAGCCCACAGAAAGAAGGCACTGAGGGTAATCAGCCTCCTGGGAAAGCATCTAAAGCCTCCTACAAAATCAAAGATAATTCAAAGATCTTCTATATCCAGGGAGCTCTCCTAAGGCAGTCAGTGGGAAAAGCTGCAGAAAGAGCAGGATTTCCAGCAGAGGAAATGAATCAAAATTCAAGAATCAAGATTCAAATCAAGAATATGATTTAGACTCAGAGTTCTAGACATAAAAGGTGAAGATGTGGAATAAACAATTTGATATACAGCCTAGATAGAGGTCAGAGAAAAGGGCTAAAATCTTGATACTGAAGCCCTTCAACAGGGAGAGCTCAGGACGAGGAAGAGCAGCCAGGACAGGTGACTGAGAAACACAGGCCAGTAACACTGGCAAAGAGCCAGGAGGGCTCTGGAGTGTCAGCTGTGTGCATGAGGCTGAGCATTCACAGGATAAACCCAGACATCCTTTATTCCCTGCCTCTACCCTAAATGGCAATACTCACAGTTCCCTCCCACTTTCTCACCACTGTGCTTTTTGCTCTTATTATTCTCTTGCATTGGAATGCCTCCTCCTCTGCCAAAATCCTGTCTATCCTTCATGACCCAGAAAGAATGACATCACCTTGGTAGTGTACTTCCTGACTCTACTAATAAAATACACCCTCTTCTTCCATAATATCCCATAGCCCACTGTGTACTATATTTTATTCTGCTTTATATACACACATACGTCTGTTTATCTAAGCCATAGCAGCTGGGTCTAAAAGGCAAGAGAATGTGGAGCCTCTTTTGGGAGATGGGAGAAATAAACTCCAATATAGATGCAAGGTAAATAATTATATGTTCTCTCTTCATCCTTCCTGTATCCCAGTTGGACTGGAGTAGAGGCTCCCAACCCCTCATAATGGAGCAGAGTGTTTGACATCTACTAGGTGCTCAATATGAGTCAAATCCAAATTGAGTCAAATCTAAAACTATAGGACCCAAGCCTGGAAAAGTATTTATAAATGGCAATCTATTTTCTCTCTTTAGATTTCTGTTTGCCAGCAAGTCTATTATCTGTACCCAAGCCCAGAAACTATTTTTCACATTTTTCCAACCCTCTACAGTAAAATAGTAAGAATGACTGTTCCTAGATAATAAAGTTTTTTTTAAAGATACCTTTTTTAAAGATTATGTGACAAAAAGCAGGCTAATGTGGATATAGCTCCTGTCACATGCCTTGGCTGAATATCTCCTGAGCTAAAGCTACTTTTTAAGCCATTTAGACTGATCTTTCCCCCCAGATGTCAGGTATGAAATGACAAGTTGCAAAAGTCTCATGGATGAAATACCCTTTGTGATCTCTGAACTTCACTAAAAACCTAAAAGAACTGTACGAATCCAAGCCTTGGGTCAGGTGTCAGGCAAGGAGTTCCTGAATGTTCATACCTCAAACACCAGCATGTACAGCCCTCCTGTTCTCTCATACCAGCAAGGAGGAGTGTGGTAGAAAGAAGTCAGCTTGAAGGTAGTTCTGGCTAAGAGTTGGAGGAGAAAGAAAAACCGGTTAGCAATGGTAAACACAGAGTCAAAACTTTATAAACCAAATACAATTACCACAGGCCTAATGATTAATGAGAATTATTTGCGAAGTGCCTATGTGCAACATGCTACAAAAGCAACTGGAACTTATGGCAAGAAAGTTCGGCTTTAGGATTTCCTTTATCCCCTCTTCTGTTTTGCATGATGTTGCATCACAATTGTCCTTTAAAACTGATCACTCCTTCATGGTCAATGCCCTTGCAGAAACACAGACCTCAAACTTCTGCTAAAAAGTCCAAGCCTTTATAGATATTTGCAGATAGACAAATAGCCTGGTGATTAAGGATATACATTCTTTTTTAGTTCACATTCCAGATCTACTACATATTAACTGTGTGATCATCCAAACTGGTTGTTTGGTGTTAAGATTCCTACTTTCTGCACTTTTCAACCGATATATTCAGAGTTAGAGAAGTTTTTCAGAGTGCAAGGTGGTAACCATCGCCAATGCCCAGTAGAAGACTACACACAAGTAGCAATAACCAACCTAACCTCCCTTTGCTGCTAACATTTGCTCACAACACAAAAGTCCAGTAATCTCCTTTTCTTAATGGTGGCACCAGTTGCACCACACTCTGGAAGGTATTGGTTTCCTTAAGTATAATGTAGACCCACCTAAATAAAAGGGCAACATGAGGGAAAACATCAGTGTGAGGCTTTGTGGTCTGTAGATTTAGTTGCTCATACAAGAACCGGGAGGGGGAACCCCCAAAGATTAGTCACTTCATTTTGTCTTTCAGGACTCAATTCAGGTTAAAAAAAAAAGGCCTTTGCCAACAAAGGAGATGGGAGAATGGCAGTATTCACTTGCACTGGACTGAATAAACAAATGTGGGATTTGTTGGCTGACTAATGTCCTGGGATAAACCAGGCAGTCAGCCAAATTCTAGAAGTTTTGATGAAAAGACAGCAAGCCCACACTTTTCTTCGTAGAAGTGCTCCATGGGAGTATTGATGTCCACAGGAGCAGCCTGGGCCTTCAACTTGCCTTAAAGATTTACCCATATTCAGCCACAGGGAATTCTTAAATGCTTCTGTAATTGAAAACCTAGATCAAGTGATAGGAGCTGCATTGCTTCCTGTTGCGAAGTGTTAAATATGCCATTTATCTCCTTTTAGAAATGTGCTATCACTGTCCCTTTTTAAATACTATCTTACTCTGAAAATATATAATAGGACCACTAAAATGTGGCTCTGGTTCTATCTTTCCATTCATTCATTTCATTCACTGAGAGCCTTCGATATGCTTCAGGCACCGTGTTAGACTCTGTGGATAAAACAGTGACTTAATCAGACACAGTCCATGCCCTCAGGAATCCTCTAAGCTATCCTTGACACTGAAAAATAAATAAAGCCTTGTAATTTCAGTTTTGGTTGGAGGAAAGTATTAAAATTTGCAGGTTTTTTTGTAGGAAAGGCAATAAGTCATTCAATTAAGGTCACAATGTAAGTGTGCAGAGAAGTCAGAAAAAAGAAGAAAGGGTTTCCCTTTAGTTGGCCACCACCATGCTATGAAGACCATCTATCTATGGGCTAGACTAAAGTAGATTTTACTACAAACTGCAGCTAGTGAAATGTCAAGGCTAAGTTTCATAGGTTCTTGACTAACTCAAGAAAAATTTCCTAGCAGCAATTGATGTAATCTCCTTTACATAAGGCTGGCTTATCTATCCAGATCAGAAACAGATATGGCATATGCAAGCTAAGAAGAAAACCCCTAAGAAGAACGATTCAATGTGAGTATAATATAAACTACAGGGAGAAAATTCACTGCAGTAACTGACATACAGGGAGCACTTTATGGGTCTCCACAAAAATCTCCAACCTTTCTTAAAATTTAGGATCTTCTTAAGTAGTGTTTACCTACATCAGAGCTTTCATACTTCCCGTATGAAGATCTAATTTCCATGACTTACTGGCCTTCCAGAGTCCCAGTAGGAGGCTGTCAAACTGCTAATACATAGAATTCGTTTTAAGAGGCAAGATACATAACTGCCTTTAGAAGTACATTGAAGTAGATTAGCAGAGATTTTAACAACTCTTTCACACACAAAAAAATGGCAATGAGTGTGGGGTTTATGAAGTCATCAAATCAATACCAAGTTTAACATTTTTAGGTGAGGCTTATAAACCTAACTCTTTAGGAATAAAGATTTGGAAGAGAAGTATAACTCCTGCTTAGTTAACTTGGAGAGGGAGCATTGAAAGAGAAAGCTATAAACAAACTGGAAAAGAGCTAGTCCAGGTTTAAAAAATAGAGAAAGTAAACCTGATGCTGGGCTCGGATGATAAACAGGTAGCAGAGGCCACCCACAAAAACTCCATTTGACCAGCAGCTCGGTGTGCACCTTGAAGGAACAAGATGAAGTATACAGCCCACAAACCAGAGGAAGGCCTGCACAGGAAGCAGTGAGGACGATGTAGTGCTATGGACTGCAGAACAGGATGAAGCCAGTCCATGTGAGGTTCAAGAAAACCAAGTAGTCAATACAGGCATCAACATATTTCCTTGTGTCATTAACTCGGGACCACATCCTGATTTCAAACACCACGGAACCACAGATGGAAAGCCGTGTAAATTGGGGCCATTTTTCAAACCTCTTTCTCTGCTGTCTGCTCATCAGAAATGCCCAGAACCCACTTTGAGCATGTCACTGGGCATACACCAGATCCCAGTGAGGTGAGCAGTTTGATGGGTGGTGTCAGATTTCCCAGCAAAATTAAACAAGCAGCTTGACTTGACAAGTAGTATGAGGCAGCATAAACAGCTTCCCTAGACAGTGCCAGACAATTAGGTGCCAAAAGCCTGAGGTGGTTATTAGAAGATGGTTACCACCTCTGACTGTCTGACTCCAGCCTCTTCATCGCCAGAAAACTGCTCCAGCAGAAATCCAGCCAATCACTGCTCCCTCAGGAGGCACATACTGTTCACCGTGAGCTCTTGCTAACATCCAGCTATTTGCAAAGTGCTAGACAGGGCAGTGACAGTTAAGGAGAAATTGCCCTACAGGATTTTAACTTCTAACTGGATCTCAGCCATGCTGCTTCCTTTGTATACCTATCAGCTGGGACTTCTTTGGCAGCCAAGTTCTAGAGCATTTCACTTTCAGTCATCAGAACTATCTAGAGGAAGACACACTGGAAAGGGGTCAAGACACCCCAGTTCTATCCCTAATCAGCTGTACAGCCTATGGCCCTGCCAAGGTGCTTCTCTGGGTTCCCTTTTCCCTTAATGGTAAAATAGGGTACCGTTAAACCCACTTCACAGGTTTCTAGAGAAAGTCATAAGAGAATAGATGACCAAAACGTTATAGGAGGTATATTCATATATACATGCTCATGAGTGTGTGTGCCTATATGTGTTTACATATAATGTTTTAATGTTTTCCCATTGCATAGAAATGAAGTGTAGATTTGGCATATACCTGGGTAAGTTAAGTGATGGACAATCATTTTAGAACAAAAGTGCCTCTTCATTTTTAGGGGAGAAGGCAGTTGTCTAAATTGTCCAGACCAGTTTTCTTCTCCAAGTCCTAGTCATGGAATCTACACAAGACTGACTTTCCTGTTTGCTAGAAAATATTTTGAAGGAAAAAGAGAAAGAGCTACTGGTTAAATGTTTACTATATGCTGGCCAATATATGAAGCATTTTATAGATATTTCATCTTCATCATTACAATCCCATGAAGTATTATTTAAAAACATTATACATTATGCAGAAGAAAGAGAAATTCTGTGGAGAAAGAAATGCAGGATCAGGAAGGTTAGGTCAATGTGGTATTAGAGCGTTGGTTGATAGGCACCCTTTGGCCAGCTCCCCTCCCTCACAGAGCCTGCCCCACCTGAGAGGTTTCTACCAGCACCTACCAACAAAACACAGGACTGACTGAGACAATAGGTTAATACAGAAGGAAATTTGCAGGATGACAGCTGCAAGCTAGCTGTTCATGAAATCCAGCCCTAAAATATGACCAATCCTTCCTTGGGGGATTCTTACTCCATCCTTGGGGGTTCTATCTTTTCTTAGCCAGTGTCAAACTACAGAAAAACTGGATCTCAAATCTCCTTAAAGGGAAAATATTGGGGAGAGAAATATATAATAATAGGTTCTTGTTTCTTTTTGTTGGTGGTGGTATTAATTAGTTCTGTTTTACAAAATATCTTCTTTAATGGTAAGACAATGTGAATCACAAAATGATATAAGGAATTTTGTACAATATAAACGTGAGCTGTAAGAATCATAATAAACAGTAATTATCATAATACATTTGAGTATTTGTGATGTAGTGTAGTGTGACAGACTACATTAGCTTTTGCTCATTTCCTACGTTTTGCTTGACTGATCCATTGCAGCTGGTAAGTTCTTCGGCTCACCAGTTATCTGAAGCATGCAGTTGCAATAGTGGTGCAAGGACATCCTTCAAGGCCCACGTCAAAGTTAAATCTCACGAATAACTGCTTCTTTCTTACCAGTTCACCAGCATCCAGACTTTCCTTCTAAAGCTTGTGAGGACGACTTACATTAGCATATAAATGAATGCAAAACATCAGTGTCTCCTTTACCTATAGCTGCTGCAACAACACACATAAACATCACTATTGGGCTTGTGAAAACCTATTTGGTACAGAAAAAAATTAAGAAAAGAGAAGAGAATGGAAGAAAAGAGGAGGACAAAAGAGGGGAAGGGAAGGAGAGGAGAGGTTGAGCAAAGACAGCAGATAAAAGACTTTTCTCATCCAGTTTGTTTTAGTATTATGAATTTATCTGCATTATATGCTTTATATCTTTATAACTGGAGGTAATGTGAATGGCCCTCATTTTTTTTTCCAGAAAAAGAAATCAGTGCTCAAAGAAGTGAAGGATGCAGCATTACCAAAAAGGGCTACACCCCAGGATTTGATCCTAAGTCTCCATGATTTTAGAAATACCCATGC